ATATATATATCAGGTAAATAAAGATACAAACTATGCAAATTAGTATCAGGTTTATTTAACATATCAGAGAGAAATTGATACAAATTATTCCTTAACTCATAGCGTTGGGGTAACATTAATATGCAGAGGTTGAAGGCAGCTTTATTTTTAGACAGACTTAATGCTACTTTTATGTACAATGTCATGTATAAAGTCACATTCTAATTCAGGATGGTCAGTACATTTTGGTATACCATGTAACAATGTTTCAAAATGTACATGGAAACGTACTTCAATACTATAACCAGTATGCATTAACAACTTGCTCTTATAGTGATTGATATGAAAGATGATTGGCATAACCCCAAATCTGGTATCATGTATTGCTGGCTTATGATGTAATAATACCATGTGATGGTTGCATGATGGACCTACAAAAGTATTACTGATTACGTGAACAAAAAAGCACCATGTTCAGAATGCATATAGTACAATGCATAATAATTATGATTCTTTTGTGTGCTCATCCCCATTTCTGAGCTACAGGAATGTAGATAGACATGCTACAGGCATACTTGTACAGGCATGTAGAAGTATTAATTTCTATTTCAAAACTCTATCGTCATCAAGTCAAGATATTCGCTATAATCGACGTGTCTGTTTTATTCGAAATCATAGATTTTCATAATTTGTTTATTTGTTTATTAAAATTTACCTGCACATGCGTGGGGGGGAGGGAGAACAGGTGGGCCACCTTTACCAGCTCCCTCCCCTAATTACATCAATAAAAAACAGTATAAAACAGCATTGGATTTAAACACATTATGAAAGCAATACATAGATATACATACAAAAATATGGACATGTAATAAATCAAATATCATACTACGTAAATGTCAGCGAGGTCTTAACGCTATGCATGTTCCACACCTGCAAGCCGTAGACCATGTACATATGTTGTCTGTGTCAAAGTTGTCCTGGAACTTGCCAATTACTGACTGGACAAGACACCGTTTGAATTGTGGAATATTCGCACCGCTACACCTGTCCCCGCGCGCCACAGACAGGTGCCCAATTAACACTATTTAGTAAGGGGACCAATCAGAGAAGACAAAGAAACAGGTGGGTATGCTAATGAGGGATAAGATATAAAAGGGGGAAAGCAACGACACAAATGCGCAGTTGGCCGGCGGGGGGAGGAGAAAAGCGGGGGGAAAAATTGAGGAGAATTGGGGAAGGAGTGAATGGAAGGGAAGGCGTAGGGCAAGGGTGGTCGACGGAGGGTATGGGAGGTGGTGATGGAGCATGGTGACAGTTTTAATTATGTCCCCACCCACCCACCCTCGTCGGTGAGGCTCGGATGAGCATTTTGGCGCCGCTCTCTGGACAGGATGGGGACCTTTTTTCCGCACTCCTTATCTCTTCCATCTTCTGTC